GGAGCACTGGGTGTTATACGCAAACAATGAATCATGGAACACTACATCAAAAACTAATGATGTATGGTGATTAACATAACATAATAATAAAAAAAAGACTGACATTACCAAGTGTTTATGAGGATATGGAACAACTGGAAATGAAATCTCTTACATTAATATGGGGATCAAAACTGTACAACTGCACTGGAAAAATACTTGGCAGTTTTTACTAATGTTAAACATACTTTCATACTCTAAGACACAACAATTCCATTCCTGGGTATATACCCAATAGAAACGAGTGCTTAAGTCCACCAAAAGAGGTAAAAGAATATTCATAGTAGCTTTATCCATAATAGCCTCAAACTAAAAACAACCAAAATGTCTATCAACAGTAAGAAGGATAAATAACTTGGAAAATACATAAGAGAAATGAAACAAAGTGAACTACCAATATATGCAACAACATGAATGAATCGGACAGACATAATATTGAGTGAAATAAATCTGACAAAAAAGAGCACATGCTGTATAGTTCAGTATTCATAAATTTCAAATCAGGCAAAACCTATAGCTGGTGATAGAAGTCAGAGTGGTGATTATTCTTGGAGGAGATACTAATCAGGAGGATACCACATGGGATGCTGGAAATGTTCTATATTGTAATATGGGTAGTGGTTAGAAGGATGTATGTATGTATGTAACAATTCAAGCTGTACACAATATTTCTATATTTTTACTTTATGTTGGTTATTTCTCAATTTAAAATAAATATTAAGAAAACAGTAATAGATAACTAGATCAGTAAAGCAGAATATATAATCCAGAAATATACTCATGTAATAGAGATTTTGGTTTATAATAAAGGTGACATTCCTTTCCTTTTCTGCCTCTAAAGTTGCCATTTGGATACAGTTCTTGGCACCATGGTAGTCATCTTGAGACCTCAATGGGAACCAGCCTACAAGGACAAGCAAGCAGGCCAAGGATGGCAGAAAAGAGGATGGAAAGAACCTGACTCCCTTGAGAATATCAATGCACCCCAGAATTAGCCATCTCTGGAAAGTCTTACTTCTGAGTTTCTTGTTATTTGAGATTTTTAAAAATCTACTTTTAATTGGATTTTAAAAGTATCTTAACAGAGAATCAGTTAGGAAGTCATTGAAATAATTCACGGGAGACCTCCACCTTTCCAGGCCGAGCAGCTTCAGCGCAGCAGCTCCTCAGGGAGCTACAGACCTTCAGAATAAGCTCTCAGAAGCTTATTCCCACCATGGGGCTTGAGTCTCTGGAACAAGGGGCATCACTCACCTGTCCGGTCAACATCCTTTTTCATGGGCAGTACAGTATAATCTGGTTGCTCGTCTGAGACCTCAAACATCCACGGCTTGGGCTGTCTCATGGAATGGGGCTCTTTCTGGGGACTCCCCCTGCCTCCAACCCAGTCCCCTGACCTGTCTCGGTGCTGAAACTGCTGTAGGTACGGGATCCGGAAAATCCTGTTTTGGTCCAGGCTTAACTTCTTCAGTCTTCAATTAAGGAAAGGGAATACAGAATCACAGCAATAATGATACCTCTGCGGCATTTACCAAACAACTTTAGGGAAAAAACATGGATTCACACTTGGACACTTACTCTTCTGGTGTGACCTTTAGCCAGTGACTTACCCTCTCTGGGCCTCAATATCCCTATCTCTAAAATGCGGATAATATTCATTAACCTTTCAAGGTTCCTATGAAGATTAATAAGACAATGTAAATGGCCCACCACAAAGTAGTATTCAGTAAATGGTAGCTGAATCCAAAGTAAATTTTCCAGGGATCTAAAGCTTAACCATTTAAATGCCAGCATTTTCATTACTTTAATCAAATAGGTAGAATTCAGCAGTTAACCTTATCTTTCTGATTCCATTTTTTTTTTTTCTGTCCCCTCTATCAGGGGTCAGGAGCCTATCTCTGGTAATATCTCCTTTTACCCTCCTTTCTCTTTGCCACTTCTATTCCAGTCACTTGATCAGAAATGTCCTACTGATGCCCCACTTTTATGGCTGAGCTAAAGCTCAGAGGGGAGAAGTTAATCACCCATGGCCACACAGCAGAGATAAGTGGTGGAGCTGGGATTTAAACCCCGGCCTTCTGGATTCCAGAGCAGCACTAGGGTGTGGGCCAGGCTGGGGGTGGTAGGGGGCCCTGCAGAGAGGAGATGGTGGCTTTACCTTCTGAGCCCGGCCAGGCTGGCAAAGCAATTGGGGCTGGAGAGCTTGTTGTCATCCAGCATCAGTGTCTCCAGCGCTGGGAACCTCAGGATGTACCTCCTGCTTGTCAGTGACGTCACAGATGCTTCCCTGCGAGTGCAAGGATCCTGGGTAATGAGCAAGGGCAGGGGACAAACTCCACCATCCCCAGGAAGTAGGAATGGGGATAGGAATAGAGATGGAGGACAGGGAATCAATCAAGAGGCATAACCAGCTTGGGAACTTCTCTAGTGCCCCTGAGACGTCCCTGCAGAGAGGGACCAGAAGGTCCCTCCCCAACTGATCCCTTCCCCGAATCCCACTCATACATCAGTCTTCTGTATGGAGAAAGGCTGCACACATTCACAGATGGACTCAGGGAGACTGGGTTGGGGCAGGATGGGGGGCACTAGTAATGCTCATGGAAAATACCAGAATGAATGAGGCATGACCAAGTTGAGGGAAAACATTCTGCAGAAAGAATACTGCACAATTTTGGTTCAGGTCAGACTCCTGGGTATGCTGCATCACCCCAAGGACTGGTAACCATAGGAGCATCAGGAGACAGAGCCCTTGGCAGGGACCACAGCCTTGATTCACGTAGAGTAAGGTAGGCTGGCCACAGTGAGATTCTCCTCTAAAGAGACTTAATAAAATGCACACATCAGTAAGGAGTTGAGAATTCTCTTTTAAAACTCAAACTCTCTGGGGAGTCCCAGAAACACCTGAGAGTGGAATTTAATGGGCTGAGATCCTGAATCACACAGGTGGAGCAGGAAGTGGTGGCATTTTAGGTACTACCATTAACGTGGCCTCATTTATGTGCCCAGGTGGATGAGACCTAGGTAATTCTTTATTTTTTTCAATCTTTTTTTTTTTTTTAAGATTTTGTGTTTTTAAGTAATCTCTACACCCAACACGGGGCTCGAACCTACAACCCCAAGATCAAGAGTCATATGCTCTACCAGTTGAGCCAGTCAGGTGCCCCTAGGTAATTCTTTTTAAGTACACAAAGGCAGATGACTCAAATCATGTTTTCATTCCTCCCTCCAACTCTCTCCCCTCCATTCACCCAAATAAACACTCAACACACTCAACCGAGAAGGAAAGAAGAAGCCTTTAGTTCATGGTATTTGAAGGTCACAGATGATTCTTTTCCTCTCCTGAAAGGACCAACTTTCATGCACTAAATTTTTAATTTCTACCTGAGAGCAATTACAGGAGGGTGCACAGCAGCTCTGCTGATTTATAATTAATTGACCAATCTTTTTACTCCAGTCAGATATGAAAGAGCTAAAAAATAAGCCTTCAAAAAATTTCTCTTATACCCGATAATGGAGAAGCTGGCTCTGTCCTGTCTCTTGTGACAAGTTACAGTGGTTTGCCTTTTAAAAGTTTCACCCTAATTATAACATATAAAAAACTTCATTTTGTCTCTAAAACTGATGTCTTAAAATAGGGGGGCAGTCAATAGGTGGGTAAGGAGGACAAGATGCAAGGCTTCAGAGGAAAGCATCAGGCTCTCCCACTGGGTCCTTCCCAGGGCAGTTTTGGGAGAAGAGCTCTTTGAAGCGGCAGGAGTCTATTAGTATGGAGAGGCTGAGGTTTCCAGGTGTTCAGAGTGGTGCTATTTTTATCATACCTTCTCTTGGCAAAAGGAATTAATACCATTTAAAAATGACAGATTTGACTAATATGTTTAGAAGCTAAGAGTATGCCCCAGTGACTGGATTCAGGAATGGGAACTGGTGTGCCATATTAGAAGAAGCTTGGGGGGCGTCTGGGTGGCTCAGATGGTTGGGCGTCGGCCTTCGGCTCAGGTCATGATCTCGGGGTCCTGGGATCGAGTCCCGCATCGGGCTCCCTGCTCCGCGGGAAGCCTGCTTCTCCCTCTGCCTCTCTCTCTGTCTCTAATGAATAAATAAATAAAATCTTTAAAAAAAAAAAGAAGCTTGGGAATGCGGGTCAGCAGCCCTGGGCTCTGGTTCTGGTGCTGCTGCTGCTTGGCTTGCTGGGTGACTTCTAGCTGGTGTTGAGCATCTCTGGTCCTGGTCAGTTCCTCTATCTACACGATGAAAGAGGATTTCTTTTATTTTACATTGTAAGACTTTGCATGAGGCTAAAAATATTGCTGACCAGGCTAGACAAAGAGCTGCAGTAAAACAGATGAAATTTAGCAAGCTCTAATGTCCATGAAAATGTTAGGTCAGCTTCTGTGATAAGATATAGAAAACCCACCACGTAAAATAGAATGAGGGAGACGGACGTAGCTTCCCAACTCACTTGTGTAAAAGAAGATTTATGATGTGGCTGCTAAAAAAGCTGGTGCTCCTTTAGGTGACATTTTGAGGAAAACAGTGGTTAGAAAAAAGAAGGTAACCATCCCCCTCTGCTCTGTGCAGGTCAAGCCTGAGAGGGGGGACCTGTGCCGTCCAAGGGAGACAGGGAATAGGCCTCATGGGAGACCCAAAGTCTCAGATGCCGATCCAAACAATAGGGCAGGCTGATGATGCAGTAGGTCAGATATGATCCCCCTAACTCACCCAGACATAATCATGTGATCTATCCAGAAATGGAGACACAAATAGTTCAGAATAGATGAGGTATGTGGTGAAATGGAAAAAAGTGAAGAGAAAAGAGGATGCAGAAGCAGGCAGAGTCAGGTCATGAAAAGCCCTGTGATCAATGTTAATGGTGTTTATCTTTAGAACGCCGGGAAGCTGCTGAAGGACTTTAAGCAGGGCAGTGATAGAATCAGAGGTGCCTTTTAGAAACATCCCTCTGGCTGATGGTAAAGACGATAAAGAGAAAGAAAAATGTGACAGGTCCTTAGCTGTATCCCAAGTAGCAGGGGCTGTGTTGATGTGCTACAGCCAGACTAAACAGGAGGGAACAGAAAGGGCCAAGTTTGAGAAACATTTAGGAAGCACAATTCATAGCCTCTGGTGACTGAATGGATGTACAGGGTGAGGGAGGGAAGAATACAGGCTGATGCCCACATTTCTCACTTGGACAACTGCACAGTTGATGGAGAGTAGCTCCCGTCACTGAGGCCAGGGACACAGGAGGAAGAGATCTCGGCATCGGCATGTGTGTGATGACTTTGGTATGATTAGGTAAAATATATGGGCTCATAGTTTAGAAGATGGATGTGAAGTAGAGATATAAAGAAGACTTGGGAAAGGATGAAACCATGAAGAAAGATTATAAAAATTAAGAAAAACAGTGGGTTGAGAGTGGACAACTGAGGACTATCAACATTGAAGAGGCTGCAGAAGAAGAGGAATCCACAGAGCATTTTGAGTGTGGACACACAAGTGGGAAGAGAATAATAGTAATACTTGTTTGGAGCCTCACAGCTTTCAAAGCACAATTATTTCAATTGATACTCTGATGTAAGTAGGAGTGTATTTATTCTCCCCATCTTATATTATAAGGACATAGAAATACCTAGTGGTGGAGCCTTGCCCTACTTTATGCAACAAGGCTTCCCACTGAAAACAACTAAAATGATGAATAAAACCTAAAAAGAAAAAAGATTCATTTAAAAACATGTAAGAGATGTGAAGACAGTAAAGCAGTAGTATGCCAAAATCTAAAAATCCAGAGACAGAAACCAAGCATAAGAAGCCACATTTGCCTTTCAGACACTTGCTGATCTTGTTGAAACAGCATGTAATTGGAGACCCCCTACACGAATGTAAGATCCTAAAGAGATATACACTCAGGAGAGCGAGAACTAGCACTAAACCCATGCTCCTCATCCCACAGCTAGGGGAAAACTACCTTGGAATGAAAAGAAGGAAAGGGGGAGGGCAGACTGGTCCTCTTGCAAAATTGTAGCCCAAATTTGTATCATCTGCGTGGCTCAGAGAATATCCAGCTAGTTTAGTTTAGTTTAAAATGGTTCCATACTGAGTGCCCCTAGGCACCTGGCCAAAATAAATGGAAAGGTTTATGGTATTGCAGACTAAATAATGTGGGCCAACTCTCCCTTGAGTATATGCTAGAAAATCCAGACAAAATATATATATTAAAAACAATTTTCTTTAAGGCATCTGGGAACTAACAAGCTGTGAGAAATTAGGGGGCTAAGATTTGGAAAAAGAAGGAAATCAAAGGGGATCTTGCAACATTTGGGTGTCTTTTTTTTCCCCTAGGGCTACCTGCTAACTCCAGAAGTGGCAGAGAGGCTGAGATGCTGAGCAAAGATTCTGACAACCTTGCTAGTCTAGGGGCCAAGAGTCCAGGGTGCACCAGAGAAGGGGATTCCTGATAAACTTGCTTTAAGTTAGGGCAATGAAGGACTAAATCCTAGGGGGAGGTGTGACCTAGAAACAGTGTGGTCCTTGCAGAGACTGAAGACTAGCTTCAAATAATTATGTGTGAACCCAACAATCAAAAAAAAAAAAAATCTAGAACTGGTGGGAATAAAAATGATTTGAGTTGCCCAAAGGGAGAGTCACAGCCTCTCACTCAGTTTCCTATTTACATTTAAATTAAAAACAATTAAACTTAAATAAAAGTAAAAATTCAGTTCTTCAGTCACACTGATCATATTTCAAGTGCTTAATATGACTGACGGCTACCATATTGGACAATGCAGATATAAAACATTGCCAACATTGCAGAAAATTCTATCAGATAGTCCTAAACCAGGCCTTTCAAGGATTACTAGACAATATCTGCAAATCGGTGCTAATGTCTGGGGATATGAAAGGTATGGTGGTCTATCACTCAAAGTAGGGGATTATGGAAGAATGGAAATTTAGCCTGTGAATGAACCCAGTGAAGTCATCAACCTACTTTGTGGTTACCTCCCCAGTTCCTGAATGTATAATTAGAATAGACATATTAAGCAACTGACAGAAGAACCACCTTTGTTTACTAATCAACAAAGTGAGGGCTATTATAGAAGGAAGGGACAAATTGAAGCCCCAGGAAATCTGCTTCTAGAACGGTAAGCCTACAGTTATTCTGCATCCCTGAGGTAACGACAGAGACTACTGCCATCACTAAAGATAAGAAAGGTAAAAGGATATTGAGTCTTATGATATTCCTGCTTAACTTGTTTATTTGGCTTGTGTAGAAGACAGATCATGAAGAATGACTACAGATTACT